GGATGCAGGCCAGCCTCAATCCTCCTGATGGCCATGCGCTGGTTCGCCTTCGTGGAGGCCACGGCTGAAAAGCCAACACATCTGGCGGCTAGCTTCACAAAATTGCCGAGAGTGCCATTCCCACCGCACTTGCGGCAGCAAAAATGATCACAATTTTTAAAAACGTCGTGACCGAGGGCCGAAAACTGGGGAAACCTGTCGGGCCCACTGGGCCCCGAGGGGGGCACAGGAGAACACGGGCCCTTCGCTCCCACGTTGTCGGGCCCCTCGGTCTGACCACACAGCTCAGCCTCTCTCTGGGAGGCGTCCATTGCCAGCTGCACGGCCTCGGAACGCATCAGGAGGAGGAGGAGGAGGAGGAGGAGGAGGAGGAAGGGAAGGTGGAGGAGGAGGAGGAGGAGGACGAGGAGGAGGACGCTGAAGGAGATCCCTCTGGCCCCCCCGGCGCCTCCCTGCACCCCACGGGTGGCGGCCCCCCCGGGGGCGACAGCCGCCCCATCGGTGCGCGGCCCAGGCCGCGCGGGCAGCGCCAGGAGCTCGAGCAGAGCGGCGCGGAGGCGCGGCCGGGGGGGGCCCACGGGCGGAAAGGGGGCGCCACCGAGAGCCCCCTCGGTCGACACCAGCAACATCACCATCATCATAATCATCATCAGCATCATCACCACCACCACCACCATCAGAATCATCATCATCATCATCATCATCATCATCATCATCATCATCATCATCATCATCATCATCATCATCACCATCATCATCATCATCACCACCATCATCATCATCATCATCATCATCATCATCACCACCATCATCACCATCACCATCAGCATCAGCATCAGCATCAGCATCAGCATCAGCATCAGCAGCAGCATCATAACCAGCATCAGCATCAGCAGCAGTGTCATCATCACCATCACCATCGCCACCATCATCACCATCACCATCATCAACATCAGAATCAGCCGCAGCAGCATCGCCATCGCCATCGTCATCATCATCGTATTCACATCACCAACGCCGCCATCATCACCAGCGGCATCACCATCACCATCACAATCACCATCACCATCACAATCACCATCGCCATCACCACCACCACCACCAACACCATCACCATCACCACCATCACCACCATCACCATCATCCAAATCACCATGACCATCATCACCATCAGCACCACAATCAGCAAAACCACCATCACCACCACCCACCCCCATCGTCATCACCACCCTCCTCCCCTCTCCTCACCCCTCCTCCCCCCTGCCCCCTCCTCCCCCCTCCTCCCCTCGTCATCCCCCCCCCCCCCTGCCACCCTGAGCGCGCCCCGATGGGGCCGTCGCGCGCATGCGCGCGCGCGCCTGCACGGCCTGCTCACTCGCGCGTGCGCGCAGGTGCTCAGTCTTCCGGCTCGGCCTCCAGGTCCGCCTGGCCGCACCCGTCTCCCGCCAAGTGCCCAGCGACTTCGGCGAATGCCGCGATTCGCGCTGAGGCCTCCACGACTGTCCAGGTATCTCTGGAGATCTCTGGGTGTACCTTGGTCTGTCTAGGTTCACACTGGAATGTGTCAACTGCATCACTGTATCCAGCAAGCCGATGGGAGAAATATCGTCAACCCATTGGGGATCTTCCCCTTCCTTCTCCCCCTCCTCCTCATCCTCCTTCATTCTGCTCGTCGTCTTCCTCCTCCTCCGCCTCATCCTCCTCAGGGGTTCAAGTCTTTTCCTCTTAAAGATATGCCCGACGGACTGGCTCACTCCTCCTCCTCCTCTCCCTCCTCCTCCTTCTCCTCCTCCTTCTCCTCCTCCTCCTCCTCATTATCCTTATTCTTTTTATTCTTATTATTAGTATGATTATTATTATTCGTATGCTTCTTAGTGTTAGCATTCTTACTGTTTTTCTGTTGTTCCCTCCTCCTCCTCCTCCTCCTCCTCCTCCTCCTCCTGGACATCCTCCTGGACCTCCTCCCCCTCCTCCTCCCCCTCCTCCTCCTCCTCCTGGACCTCCTATTCCTCCTCCCGGACCGCGGCCCCAACGCTCGATATAACTCGGTGCTGGCGCAACCCCCGCCGGCCCACGGAGAACCGCCCCCCCCCAAAAGCGGCCGCGGTAGAGTGCCCGGGCGAGAGCCCTCGGCCGCCGAGCAGCGGCCGCCCACGGGGGGGGGGGGAGGAGCGCCCCCCCCCCGCCCACGGGGGGGAGGGGGGCGGGGCGCCCGCTTCACCCGTCCCCAGGCATTAGAAGAAGAAGAAGAAGAACAAAAAAAGGCATCTACATAAACTCTTGGCGCTCCGCGCCGCGCGGACTTCTTGGATCTGCGCTGGCGCCCCCTCTCCTCGGGCGCGCGGGGCGCGCCGAAGGCGGCGCCGGAGGCGCCGCCAGGGGAGGGCCCAGCGCGGATCCAAGAAATCCGCACGGAGCGCCAAAAAGTGTATGTTTATGACGTTTTCCTCTTCGAGGCATAGACGTCTTGATATCTCCCGATCCTTACCCCAGGGCCGGCGTTTCATCGCGAGTCGTTTCTCACGACGCGGGGGGTTCTGGGTCCTCCTCCCGCCCCGCCTGCTCCGTGTCCCGCTGATTCCACTTCAGCTTCGCGGTGATGGCGCCGAACCAGTCCCTATCCAGCGCGGAGACGTTCAGCACGGGGATGGGGCGCCCAACGGTCACGAAGACCGGGGGGAAAAGGGGGGAGGGGGGAGCAGGAGGAGGGGGAGACGGGAGACAGCGATGGAGGAGGAAGAGGAGGAGGAAGAGCAGGAGGAGGAGAGGGAGGAGGTGCAATAGAGGCGCGCAGCATGCGACCATGCCCACTGGGGCCCAAGATGGAGCCCGCTATGGGGCCACGAAACGTGCGAGGGGTGTGCCGAGATGGAACCGCCCAACATGTTAACATGCCCATCGAAGCCGAAGGTGGAGTCTCTATGGGGCCACGGAACTCGTGGTGGTGAGTGGCACGCCGAAATCGACTTGGGGAGAGCAGAGGCGAAGAGAGGGAAAGGGGGTGCGGAGAACAGAGGCAACGAGGGGAGAGGGGAGTCACGTGGGGGGCAGGGAAACGCGCGCAACTGCGGATCCAGAGCGAGGACCCAACCAAACACAGGAGGGCCGGGAAGACACGACGACGACGTCGACGACGACAAGGACGACGTCGACGACGACGTCGACGTCGACGACGACGACGACGACGACGACGACGACGACGACGACGACAAGGATGACGACGACGACGACGACGACGACGACGACGGCGACGACGACGACGACGACGACGACGGCGACGACGGCGACGACGACGACGACAGAAGGACCGAGTCCCCGCGGCCGAGGTTCCCCATGGCCCGCCCGTCGATGACCACCTCCGCGCTGGGGCTCCGAGCCCCAGAGGGCAGCACCACCTCGACGGTGCTGGCCGGCGGCGCGCGGAGGTGCGGGCGGGGCGGCTCGGTTATCGGAGGCCCCCCCCAGTGGAGCCAAGGGAAGGAACGGGTCTTAGGGGAGGGGAGGAGGAGGAGGAGGAGGAGGAGGAGAAGGAGGAGGACCAGTGTAAACCAAAGAGTCATCAACGATGTTGGAAGTAACCCTCCCTCCAAGCTCCCTCTTCAGAGGCCCCTACAACGGTTCATGTCCATTAAGGGAACTGCCTCGTTGGAAGACACCCTTGAAAATCCTGAAACATGCCAAAACACTGTTCTCGGGATTTCAACGCCACGGATCAACCTGACTGTTGCGTCTTGACGATCCGGAATCGTGCCGGAACGCCGTTTTTTGAGACTTCAACACCGCGGATCAACAGAACTGTTGCACCCGCAAAATCCAAAACCCTTCCAAAACAAAATTTCTGGTACCTACGTTTTGAAAACGAGCCGCCCTCAATCCGTGAAACGCTTGCAGAATATGGTTAAACGAATGTGCGCAGCGCTAAAGCGAGAGCCACATTTTGAAAACGGCCCGCCCTCAATCCGTGAAACTCCTACAACTTCTGTAAAACAAAAGAATGTGCGCGGCGCTAATGCGAGAACCACATTATGGAAACGGCCCGCCCTCAATCCGTGAAGCTCTTGCTAATTTCTAAGACGAATGCGCGCGGCGCTGAGGTGAGAGCCACATTTTGAAAACCACCCGCCTTCCGTTTGTGAAACTGTTGCCACAGCCTAGGCTTCGGAATCATAAGCGGTGAGGAAATATCAGGCGAAACGCCCAGCCCGCCCTACAAACTGGCCTCGGGGTGCGACAGGGAGAAGTTATGTCTACGGCAAAGGAATGGAGGAGGAGGAGGAGGAGGAGGAGGAGGACGAGGAGGGGGAGAAGGAGGAGGAGGAGGAAGACAGGCCCAGTGTCGCTCCCGTCGCCCAATTGTACGCGCGGCGCTCCGTGGACAGGCTCACTCTGTGCACGACGGCACCCCGCCGGACTTCCGCAGCGGCCCAGGATGGCGACCTTACGCGGTGACGCTGCCCCTCACACAGCTGGTGGAACCCACCCTCACACAGCTGGTGGAACCCACCCTGGGCGTCGAAACCTCCCGACAACTCAGGAACACTTCCGAAACACAGCCCCCCCCTCCTGAGCTGATCCCCCCCTCGATGCTGCCCCTCACACAGCTGGTGGAACCCACCCTGGGCGTCGAAACCTCCCGACAACTCAAGAACACTTCTGAAAACAGCCCCCCCCTCCAGAGCTTCAGGGCCCCGTAAACCCAGACACGCTAGACCCGGACACCCAACATCCCTGGACACCATTTTTTCCAGACACGCTAGACCCGGACACCAACAGACCCGGACACAGACCCGCATCCTGCAGCGCAGCAGGCAGAACATGCACGGGTGCTGAGGAGCGTGACTGTGCAGGAAAGGGTGTCGCTCCCTCGGCTTTCCGTGTCCTGGTCTATGTCTGTGCCCTGGTCTCTGGGGGCCTGAGAGCGCCGGCGGCGTCCGGCCCCTGCCCGCCCGCGCTGAGGGGGGGGCCACCGCCGCGCCGAGGCGGCACGGCCCCCCTGCCCCGCCCGCGGTGCCGCGGGAGGGCCCGCCGGCCTGCCGCCTCCTCGCGCCGCCGGAGCTCAGCTCGCTGATCATCACCGCGCGGAAGGAGAGCGACGCGGGCGCGATGGCGGCTGGGCTCGCTGTCCACCACCACCACCAGAAGTTGGAGGGGGGAAGGAGGTGGAGGAGGAGGAGGAGGACGAGGAGGAGGAGGAGGAGGAGGAGGAGAAGAAGAAGAAGAAGAGGGGGAGGACCCCCTCCCCCCTCAAACTCATATGGTGGTGGTGATGGAAAGCAGGCCCATCAATGGCGGGAGAACTAGAGGCGGCACACCAGTCTGGAGAGCTGCAGCCAAGCCGCTACTCGGCGGAGCAACAAGAGACCACCACCACCACCGACAGCCTCCGGGATCTCGGTGGCGGCGATCTCCGTTGATCCTCTGGACTAACCGAGAGGAACGTTTGAACGAAGCCCTTTCTGGCGCTAAGGAGCGCTGGCGGAAAAACCATGGGAGAGCCCACGGAATACCGAGCTCCTTCCGAACCACACCTGGCCTTGCTTTCAGCGTCTTGGCTGTAAAGTCATCACCACCCGCACCGGGGAAACCGTGGCCCCACCAGTCGGCCTGCCCCCACCATGGGTGGGCATGGGTGCCGTCTCGTTAGGGCCTCACGGCACCCGTCTCCGCCCAGGGGTGGAGTACTCTGGGGGAGCTAACAGAATCCCTGTCGAGGTTGAGCAGGGACCGACCGTCATGGTACTCCTGAAGGCCTACCACGAAGTGTTCATAGAACCCCAAAGTGGTTTAAACACGAAAGCAACGTTCCTAGAAAATACAGCCGATGTGTTCAAACAAGACAGTCCCAGCCAGAAATGTTCCAAGAACATTTCGTGCACACCACAAAAGGTTATTTGAACATGATTTGGTGGGCCTATGGGCAAGCCAGGATGCTTCGCCACTGCTCGACAGGTGGGGGATGGAAATGGTGCTGGCGATGATCATGAACATGAGCCTCCAGAGGTCACGTCGGTTCTGTTGGGTCGGCGCTGGATCCCCCTGGCGGCACCACTTCCAGCGCCGCCCTTGACGCGCTTCGAACAAACGGAGGGGGTTCCACCAGGGACAACAGTAAGGGGGGGGCCAGCTCAGGGGAGGAAGCATCGACCCGGAATCGGCGATACTGCACGGTCCCCGATGGAGAAACTGCACGGTCCCAGGCTGGGTGCGCAGTCGGGCTGCTATCGAAGATGAATGACTGGGGACCGATGCATCACCCCCTAAACGTCCCGCCCACACAAACGTTGCCTCGGAATCCAGCGCCGACCTAAGAGAGTCCTCCGAGAGCCTGTGTGTAAGTGCCGTCCCTCGGGTAGGAGATGGATTACAAATCTGACTCACCTCAGAATTGGTTTCCTCGTCGAGTCTGCGAGGACAACACGCATCATGCTCCGTGGATCTACTACTGAGCATTCCGTCTGTATAAAGTAATACTATTTCCGATAGGTTCGACATGAAGACCAACTCTGGAGCACATCGATTTTGCAGTCGATCCCCTGCTCGAGTCTCCTGTTCTCCGAGCTGGGCGTCAGCAGCGTGCCGGGCACGCTGGGGGACACGATGGGCCCGCCGCAGCTCAGGCTGTAGCCGGTGGAGCCCGTCGGGGTCGAGATGAGCAGGCCGTCGCCCTCCACCAGGGTCACCAGGGTGCCTCGCGTCGGCCACGCGCGCCGGGGGCGGACGGCAGAGGCGAGCCTTCTCAGCTTAAGTCCGTCGTGTCCCCCTACAGGCGGATGTTGGACGAACAATAAGAGAGACTCCAAAAATACCCCCCAGGTGGGCAAACATAGTCCAACAATCGTCTCCGGACTATTCTTGTACTACTTTTGAACATCCCCCCTGTAGAGGGGCAGGCCCGACCTCCTTCTCGGCGAGCTCAGCAGGACCCTGGCCTCCTGCGAGGCACATAGGGCTCCCTCGGGAGGCGGGGGGGCTGCGGAGGAGCCCCAGGGCCTCCCGAGGAGGCCTGCGACCCCTGCTCGCTTCCCCCCCCCGGCGCGCCGCGGAGGCTGGGAGGACGCTGTCCTCCGACATGGATCATGAGCTCGGCTCCTTCTCCAGGGTTGGTTTACGGCGCACACCGGGGGGTGGATGGAAGGGGGAGGACTTCCTAGAGGGAGGCTGCTTCTCAGAAGGCACCGGCCTTGCATCTATGAATAAGGCCCGCGCCTTCTCGGAAGCAGGGGCGCTTCTAAGAAGCCCTCCCCCCTCCCCCCAGCCCCCTCTGAGCGTGGCTGAGTTAGGTCGGGCATGCCCTCCTACAGGCGGACTTTTGAGGAGAAACAAAAAAATAATCAAACATTATCAAAAAAACAAACATAGTAGAAAAGCTGTCCCCATTATACTTTACTACTTTTGTATACTCCTCCTGTAGAGGGACAGGCCCGACTTAATCCAAGGGTCCGCTCCTCAGCTCGAGTTGTTGCCTGATGGTGCCGGCGCCAGACACTGCCCCAGATGACC